GTATTAAGAAATATGAGTTATTTTGTTTTATTGTTTAATAAGGGTAGATCTGTCTTTTCATTATTTTCTTTGTTTAGCCTATATATATCTTTGTACTTAGGTTAAATCATATTTTTTGTATTCAATTACATTGTGCAATATCAATGAAACCCTAGCCTCCTCTTTTTATTATTTCTTTGAATTGTTTAACATGGTATCAGAGCCAGGTTTCATGGGACGAGGCTTAATCTTAAACACAGCTTATGCGGATCCAATTTTTTGGAGAGGGTATTCGTTCAGTTTTTGCAATCTGGTATTTCGTTGATATTTGTTCAATTTCTGCAATCTGGTATTTCGTTTTCCTTTCTTTTACATTCTGGTTTTCTTTGTTTTGAATATGGCTACTGAAAGAGACAATTCGCTTCAGTCTGTGAGCGTGAGGTTAGATGACAAGAATTATTCGTATTGGAGTTATGTGATGAGAAATTTTCTTAAAGGTAAAAAGATGTGAAGATATGTTAGTGGAACTTGTGTGAAACCTAAGAATACTAATGAGGGTTATGATGATTTGATAGATGCCTGGGAAGCAAACAATGCAAAAATTATTACTTGAATTAACAATTCTGTTGGGCATTCCATAGGTACACAATTAGCAAAGTATGAGACAGCAAAGGAGGTTTGGGATCATCTGCAAAGGTTATTCACTCAATCAAATTTTGCAAAGCAGTATCAATTGGAGAATGACATATGAGCTCTTCAGCAGAAGAATATGAATGTTCATGAGTTTTATCCTGCTATGACATATCTTTGGGATCAATTGGCTCTTACAGAATCTGCAGAATTAATGGCATGTGGTGCCTATATTGCTCGTAGGGAGCAGCAACGGTTGGTACAATTTTTAACGGCACTTCGCAGTGATTTTGAAGGACTTAGAGGTTCAATTTTGCATCGTTCTCCAATGCCTTCTGTTGACTCAGTTGTCAGTGAGTTATTGGCTGAAGAAATACGTCTTAAGTTTCATTCTGAAAAGGGAATTCTTTCTACCTCTACTTCTAATCCTTATATGTTAGCAGTATCTTCGAAGACAGTCTTTAATAATCAGAATAAGCCTTACACAAGGGTTGCCTTCGACGAGTGCAGTTTCTGTAAGCAAAAAGGTCATTAGAAGGCTCAATGTCCTAAGTTGAGGCAACATAATCAATCATAGTAGCACTCTCAAGCTTGGAAGTCTGGCAACCAGTCACAATCTAATGCTCATAGACCACCTCATGGTTACAAACCACCACAGTCTAATACTGCAGTAGTAGTTTCATCAGGTCCTTTCACCAATCCTAGTACTCTGGCTGAGCAATTTCAGAAGTTTCTCTCCTTACAGCCACAAGCTATGTCTGCTTCTTCTTCCGTAGGTCAGTTCTCTCATAGTTCTTCAGGTATGTCACATTCTGTATGGGTTTTGGATTCTGGTGCTTCACATCATATGTCTCCAGATTCTTCATTTTTTGCTTCTATGTCTCCTTCGTCTTCTATTCCTATCATGACTGCTGATGGCACTCATATGCCTTTAGCAGGTGTTGGTTCTTTTGTCACACCTCACTTGTCTCTCTCTAATGTTTATCATATTCCAAAACTTACATTAAATCTTGCTTCTGTTGGTCAATTATGTGATTCTGGTAATTTAGTCACCTTTTCTTCTTCTTCTTGTTATATGCAGGATCTACAGTCTCGGAAGCTAATTGGGACAGGACGTAGGAAGGGGGGATTATATATTTTGGATGAGTTAAAAGTGTCAGTTGCTGCTGCGACTAGTGATGATGCTGCCGCTACTAGTGTTGATGTTGCTACTGCCGCTACTGGTGCTGATGCTGCTACTACTAGTGTTGATTTGTCTTCTTTTCATTTGAGTCCTTCTTCTTCTAGTTTTTATTTATGGCACTCTCGTTTAGGTCATGCTTCGTCTTCTCGTTTGAGATTTTTGGCATCCACAGGGGCATTAGGAAATTTGCAAACTTGTGATATTTCTGATTGTAGTGGATGTAAACTAGCAAAATTTTCGGCTTTACCTTTTAATCGAAGTATTTCTGTTTCTTCTTCTCCATTTGATTTGATTCATTCTAATGTATGGGAACCTTCTCCTGTTGCCACAAAATGAGGGTCTCGATATTATGTTTCTTTTATTGATGATCATACTCGTTATTGTTGGGTTTATTTAATTAAACATCGCTCTGAATTCTTTGAGATATATACAACCATTCGAGCTCTCGTCAAAACTCAACATTCTATTGTTATCAAATGTTTTAAGTGTGATTTGGGTGGGGAATACACTTCTAATAAATTTTGTGAGTTGCTTGCATTAGATGGAACTGTTCACCAAACCTCGTGTACAAATACTCCTGAGCAAAATGGTGTTGCTGAAAGAAAACATAGGCATATTGTTGAAACTGTTCGTTCTCTCTTATTGTCTGCTTCTGTTCCTAGTGTGTTTTGGGGTGAAGTTGTTCTTACTGCTGTAGGTTTGATTAATGCAATTCCATCTTCTCATATTTCAGGTTTTTCTCCTTTCGAAAAGGTGTATGGGTATGCCCCTGATTATTCTTCCTTCAAAGTTTTTGGTTGTACTTGTTTCGTTCTTCGTTCTCATGTAAAATGTAGCAAGTTGTCCTCTCGATTTGCTATTTGTGTCTTTCTTAGTTATGGTGAAGGTAAAAAGGGGTATCGTTGTTTTGATCCAATAACTCAGAAACTTTATGTCTTTCGTCATGTTGTTTTTCTTGAGCATATACCTTCTTTTCTATTCCATCCACTGCTCATACCTTGACTAGATCTGATCTAATTCGTATAGATCCTTTTTCTGAGGATTCTGATAGTTTGTCATCTCAGGTTCCTAGTACTGATCATTCTGCAGGTACTGACATTTTACTCTTCAGCACACCTGAAGCTCCCTCTTCTCCTATGGTCCCTCAAGCTCCGTCTGAGATTGTGGATCCACCTCTACGTCAATCCATATGCATTCGTAAGTCCACAAAGTTACCAGATTTTGCTTATTCTTGTTATTCTTCATCTTTTGCCTCTTTTTTAGCTTATATTCATTGTCTCTCTGAGCCCTCTTCCTATAAAGAGGCAATTATTGATCCTCTTTGGCAGCAAACTATGGATGAGGAACTTTCTGCTTTGCATAAGATAGGTACTTGGGATTTGGTTCCTCTACCTCCTGGTAAGACTGTTGTTGGTTGTCGTTGGGTGTATAAGATCAAGACTAATTCTGATGGATCTATTAAGCAATACAAAGCTAGGTTGGTTGCAAAAGGGTACTCTCAAAAGTATGGTATGGATTATGAGGAGACATTTGCTCCTGTTGCAAAAATGACTACTGTTCGTACTCTTATTGCAGTAGCTTCGGTTCGTCAGTGGCATATCTCTCAACTTGATGTTAAAAATGCCTTCTTGAATGGAGATCTTCAAGAAGAAGTTTATATGACGCCCCTTCCTGGTGTTTCACATGATTCTGGGTATGTTTGCAAGCTGAAGAAAGTGTTATATGGTCTTAAACAAGCACATCGTGCTTGGTTTGAGAAATTTTCTATTGTGATCTCTTCCCTTGGATTTGCTTCTAGTAGTCATGATTCTGCTCTTTTTGTTAAGTGCACTGATGCAGGTCGTATCATTCTGTCTTTATATGTTGATGACATGATTATTACTGGTGATGATATTGATGGTATTTCAGTTTTGAAGACAAAGTTAGCTCAACAGTTTGAAATGAAGGATTTGGGTTCTCTACGATATTTCTTAGGTATTGAGGTAGCCTACTCACCTAGAGGTTATCTTCTCTCTCAGTCAAAATATGTTGTAGATATTCTTGAGCGGGCTAGACTTACTGATAATAAGATTGTAGATACTCCAATTGAGGTTAACGCAAAGTATTCTTCTTCTGATGGTTTACCTTTGTCAGATCCTACTTTATACCGTACTGTTGTTGGGAGTTTGGTATATCTCACTATTACTCGTCCAGATATTGCATATGTTGTTCATGTTGTTAGTCAGTTTGTTGCTTCTACTACTACAGTTCATTGGGCAGCTATTCTTCGTATTTTGCGATATCTTCGGGGGAACAGTCTTTCAGAGTCTTTTACTTCCATCCACCTCTTCCTTGGAGCTGCGTGCATACTCTGATGATGATCATGGCAGTGATCCCATGGATCGCAAGTCTGTTACTGGTTTCTGTATCTTTTTGGGTTATTCTCTTATTTCTTGGAAGAGCAAGAAACAATCCATTGTTTCTCAATCTTCAACCGAAGCAGAATATCGTGCTATGGCATCTACTACCAAGGAGATTGTTTGGTTACGTTGGTTACTTGCAAATATGGGAGTTTCTCTTTCTCATCCCACTCTTATATATTGTGACAACCAGAGTTCTATTCAGATTGCTCACAACTCAGTTTTTCATGAATGAACTAAGCACATTGAAATCGATTGTCACCTTACTTGTCATCACCTCAAGCATGGCACCATTACCTTGCCCTTTGTTTCTTCTTCTTTGTAGATTGCAGAGTTCTTTACCAAGTCGCATTCTATTTCCCGTTTTCGTTTTCTAGTTGGCAAACTCTCGATGCTTGTAGCCGCCGCATCGTGAGTTTGAGGGGAGATGTTAAGAAATATGGGTTATTTTGTTTTATNATAAGAGAAAGAGTCAATAAAAATTGTAGGGAAAGAATTAGAGAGAGAATTACGGGGATAATTGACTAGAGGGTTTACTTATGACTAGAGGGTTTACTTACTGAGCATTGTTTTGTGCTCATCTCATTGTTCCCTATGTTTTTGCAAGTTCTGGATGAGGACACAGTCGGATGGACATCGGCACAAGAAGAGAAATGGCTACACTGTCCACCCTATTTTGATAGTTTTGCATATGATACAAATCTTGTATATATTTGTATAAAGAATACGTATGTTTAATAAAAGAAAATTTTGGGCCCAACTTTTTATGTTATTTTACATGTACTTTTACTATGCATATTTTTATGAGAATGGAATCTTTACATCTTCTCTCTGAGTCGAAATATGTTACAGATATTCTTGAACGGGCTAGACTTACTGATAATAAGACTGTCGATGCTCCGATTGAGGTTAATGCAAAGTATTCTTCTTCTGATGGTTTTCCTTTGTCAGATCCTACTTTATACCGTACTTTTGTTGGGAGTCTGGTATATCTCACTATTACTCGTCCAGATATTGCATATGATGTTCATGTTGTTAGCCAGTTTGTTGCTTCTCCTACTACCGTTCATTGGGCAGCTGTTCTTCGTATTTTGCAGTATCTTCGGTGTACAGTCTTTCAGAGTCTTTTTCTTCCATCCACCTTTTCCTTGGAGCTGCGTGCATACTCTGATGCTGATCATGGCAGTGATCCCACGGATCGCAAGTCTGTTACTGGTTTCTGTATCTTTTTGGGCGATTATCTTATTTCTTGGAAGAGCAAGAAACAATCCATTGTTTCTCAATCTTCAACCGAAGCAGAATATCGTGCTATGGCATCTACTACCAAAGAGATTGTTTGGTTAGGTTGGTTACTTGCAGATATGGGCGTTTCTTTTTCTCATCCCACTCCTATGTATTGTGACAACCAGAGTTCTATTCAGATTGCTCACAACTCGGTTTTTCATTAACGAACTAAGCACATTGAGATCGATTGTCACCTTACTCGTCATCATCTCAAGCATGGCACCATTACCTTGCCCTTTGTTTCTTCTTCTTTGCAGATTGCAGATTTCTTTACCAAGTCGCATTCTATTTCCCGTTTTCATTTTCTAGTTGGCAAACTCTCGATGCTTGTAGCCACCGCGTCGTGAGTTTGAGGGGAGATGTTAAGAAATATGAGATATTTTGTTTTATTGTTTATTAAGGGTAGATTTGTCTTTTCATTATTTTCTTTGTTTAGCCTATATATATATCTTTGTATTTAGGTTAAATCATACTTTTTATATTCAATTGAATTGTGCAATATCAATGAAACCCTAGCCTCCTCTTTTTTATTATTTCTTTGGATTGTTTAACAGAGGATTGATGGGGTTTCTCTTTTGGATTTTAATTATGATTATGATTGAGATTTTTGATGATGATGATGATGAATTAAAATCGTTGATTGGTGATGTTTGTTTGATGAATGATGACTGAAATGTGGATAGAGGAGAGGAGAGTGTGTAATCGGGTGTGACACTATGAGAGATGCATTTGCAATGAAGAAATGGATGGTTGTGATTTTTTTTGGGAGAAACAGGATGGCATAAGGATAAGGTACAGGGATAGGTCATAGGGATAAGATTTTGAGTTTCTCTTCACCTTCTTCTATATTTATAGTAATATTATTATTTATTTATTTATTAGATAAATTTGAATATTATTAATTTGTATTTTATATTTCTATTTATTTTAATTAAAATTCTATTTTAGTCAATTTATTAAAATTACTTTAATATCATTTTTTTTTTAATTCATGTTCCAGAAGTTTGACCTCTCCCTCTAATTTTTTTTATCAATTTAATTTATTTATTTGTCTTTAATCTATCTATTGCCTTGTATATTAACAATTTATTTCAAAGTTTAAACTAAATTTTTTCTAAAATTATATTTAAGCCCATTAATTTTTTGAATTCAAATTCATTTGATTAAGACATGTTAATGTCACCGGTTCGACCCGTCGGTTAAATCGGTTGGACCAGTCAACCTAGGACCCAGGCCCTTGACCGGGTAAAAGCCCGGGTTGGGTTTTAAAACATTGCTACTGTATATAAGATGATATATGATTTAAAGATGGCTTAAACTATAGCAAAAAATTTCAAAGGTAATTATTTTATTTATCATAATATTTTGCTTCTAAAAAATTATTCGAAACATGAATATCAACAAAAGGTTAAAAGAGACATGCACTATTGTTGTGTGTGATTTTCTAGCAAGCTTAGGTTGAGGCGAGGATATAGCTAGACCTGGAAGAAGCTCGGTGATGGCGATTGATTGACCAAGCATAAGCTTGTCGAGTGAAAGCTCGACCCAACACAAGTTAGTCGCAAACAATTTGAGCCATCATTCAATCAATCCCCAGATCACTTCAAATCCCAAATACCATGGGAATGACCAAATCAACAGCGATCACTGCGTGATTGTAGCACTCAATCACAAGAATATCAGGATTATGATTTCAGTCAATCAGAATCCCCTCAATCTCATTCTTTCCATTTCACAAAGCTTGTATATAAACCCCCTCAAACAATGAGAGAGGGGTTACAAAATTTCTATTAAGAATTGCATTGTAAGCTCTCACAGCAAATACAAAAAACACAGTGGACGTAGGCTGTTAACTTCGCCGAACCACTTTAAAAGTCTCCTTTGCAATTTATTTACCGCATTATAAACCATCCATGGCTGATTATCCATAATCACGCCCACATCAACTCTAATCCCAACGAGGTCGATCAAAGCTCGTTGGTTGGTGCAGAAATCTGTATCAACATTTTGGCGCTAGAAGAAGGGCCTCCACCAATGCTCCAAGCAATTTTGGTAACTTTTACAGCTTTCTTTGTCTGTTTCAGGTTCAAGATGGTATACACCAAATCAAAAACCATGATCGAAAACCACAAAAACGTGGAAACCACCCACCAGGAGGTATTACAGGAGAATGTTGGACATCGACCACCTGTGCTACCAGTCTAGCACGCGCAAACAACAAGAGGGCAAGAATATCAAACCCCGACAACGGCCAGCTAATGGAAATGATTAAGATAATGGTTGCACAGGCGGGGCTGCAGAATGTGGCCGAGCTGTGAAACCAATAACCAACTGTTCCAAATCCCAACCAATCGCATTTCACTACCATCACCCCGACGAGTGTGAATCCGACTGGCGGACAATCCCTTTCATCAGTGCCAAGAGGCGACCAACACTGCCATCCCTGTAAACAGTAGTCAGCTCATAGACGGGAATCCCACGGGCCGACGAATCCTGAGCAACAGCCGGGTAAGTAGCCGCAAAGGGAAAGCAAAGATAACGGACAACACCAAGAAGCTCGGTGGTATTCCCAACGTCAATGTGCCGATTTTAACCCACGACCAAGATAGGACCAGCTTTCGCAAGCTCACAGAGCAAGCCAAGTACGTCAGGGTGCAATGATCGACGTTTCGGTTATGAACGATGTCACGAGCAACACACTGACGAGCATGATAGCACTTATGTGCCTAGATATCATGACTCAATCTCGCATACCAATGCGCATAATGGGGGAGCTTTGCAAGCGATAGACTTGTGAGCTCATTTGCTCGAAGTGAGGCTCAATAAGGCCAATTAGAGCAACCAAAATGATGACCTCGATCGCGTGTAAAAAATGCTCAATAATCTGAAGGCTCGCCAGAACAACCCAGCAGAAGAGGTAGTGAGCTCTTCCTTGACAAAGAAAGTCTGCCAGGCCCCACTTTCGCAAGGGTTCAGGGCACCAGAAAGCATATTCAATGGGGGAAGGGACCGCAAAGATCACCTCGACAATTTTAACGACCTAATGGAGCTGCACCAGGTCAGTGATCCAGCAAAATGCCGATGTTTCACAGTCACCTTAGTCGAAGATGCCAAGAGATGGTACAAGAGGCTTAAAGCTAATTTCATCAACTCTTGGCCTCGATTTTCCTTGCTATTCCTATAGCAATTCGCAGCGAGGAGGCAATTCGCAATGCCATTGAGTTACTTGAGTAATATTTGCCAGGAGAGAGACGAGGCATTGACCTCATATCTGATGAGGTTCTAGAATGAATAGGCAAAGGTTGCCAATGCTCCTAAGGAGTCCATCCAAACTCTACTGATTGCAGGGGTTCGACCAAGCATAGAGTTGTGGAAAGAGCTCCAATGCAAAGATCATGTAAGTTTGGCCAAGTTCTACGAAATGGCTACAAAATACCAGCGAGTGGAAAGCCCATGGGTAGTGTTGGCAAGAAGCTCAACTCAGGGGGCCCTAGAAAAGCGATAGGATCGCCTATCAGATAAACGTGGGCGCCAAGATTGCAATGATAGGGATCATAACTATTTCTAGAAGAAGCAAAGAATAGATAACCGCGGGGATAAATAGCCTTTCCTACGGTATGCAGAATATACCCGGCTCACTTGGGACATCACCCACATTTTTGAGGTCTCCCAAAAGGCAAAGAGATTGTCTGCTCCCGAAAGAATAAGTGGGGCCCCAAGTAGAAGAGATCGGCAGAAGTATTGTTGATATCACAGGGATGTTAGGCATAACACGAATGAGTGTAAGGCTTTGAAAGATGCCATCGAAAACCAGATTAGAAGGGGGCATTTAAAAGAGTTTGTCAAGACAACACTGCCTTGGGAGAACATTGGCGAACAAAATATTCAGGCACCAAGTTAGACCTAGAACCAAGTCTAGCAGGCCCTGCCAAACCCCAATGACGATCTGGTGGAAATGATCTACGTGGGGCCTGAGATAGCAGGGATATCAAGGCGCGCTCGTGAGCAATATGCTCAAAAGGCTATAACAGACTTAGTCCCCCGAGTAATGAGTTGTGAACAAAAGTCACCCAAGCGGCCAAAGCAGGAAGCAAGGTAGTGGGTTTATTGTCAAAGAATATGAAGGAACACCTGTCCACAATCATGACACAATTGTAATCGTGGCTAGGATTGGCAACGCTAGAGTGTTGAGGGTGATGGTTGACAACGGGGGTACAACGAACATCATTTTCTTGAAAGCTTTTTGGAGAATGAGGTTCACAGAAAGAGACCTGAGAGCGTACCCTTCGCCACTCTATGGGTTCACTGGGGACAATCTGGTACCCAAGGGCACAATCGATCTTCCTGTGACACTGGGGGCAAATTCCAAGGTTAGAACAGTGATGACCGAGTTCTTAGTAGTGGACTGCCCGACTACATACAATATCATCCTTGGAAGGCCAATCTTGGATGATCTCAGCACGATGACATCGGTGTGTTGCCAAGCGATGAGATTCTCGAGACTCGAAGGAGTTGCAACGATCAGGAGCTGCGTAAAGGAATCATGAGAATGCTATAATCAAGCTATACATGTTGCCCAGAAATGGCCGCACTCGAAGACAATGGTCATTACTAAATCCAGACTAAAACCTGGGTCACTTGATGATACCATAGATCCTTGCGTCCATAAAGAAGAGCCCATAGCAGGACTGACAGAAGAACTACGAGAGATAAGGGTCAGTGAGGAAGACCCAACTCGCATGCTAAAGATGGGCAGTGGTTTGAGTGGCAAGATGGTCGAGGACCTTGAGAACTTCTTAAAGAGAAACCTCGACGTGTTCGCATGGGAGCATGCAAACATGGTGGGCATTTTATAAATAGGCATCTTATACCAGTTTAATATATCTTATACATTAAACTAATATTTATTCATCACATGAATAAATAATAAAATCATAATGCCATATTTATAAACTAAGGGTACATGCATAATTACACAAAATATGTCATGATTAAACCAAGGGTACATGCATAATTTCATTACCTTAATGCTCATATAAAATATTATATTACCCATTGCATTAAAACGCTCTCACATCACATTCAATCAAACTAAAAGGTGATTTTAATCCTATACATCAATATGCACCATTTCATACTTCAGTCATCACCAAAGATGAACATGTGATGGCCAAGATTTAATCAAGCATATCATCTCAATTTATAACTCTAATTACATATCATCAAACACTCATTCAAGAGCTCAAACATGCCATACATTCTACCTTCATTTAATCAACATAAACCATCATCAAAACTTAAACAAAATTCAAGTTCATCCAACTTGCATTTAGGCATTCACAATACAATCCAAGCCAAATGCATTTATACTCCATTATATCACATATAACTTCTCAAACATGCATTCAAAGGACATTATGCATCCAAATAATATTTGGCCGAATTCATCCTTTTCAAAGTCATCAAATTTGCATCAAATATGCTCACATTGTATGTATCATATGAACGAGATATTTTCATATTTAACAAAAAATGCATCAAGATGCAATAAATTAAACATTCATGTTACATATGATTTCAAGAACAAGAAATTTTGTATTCTAAATCTCAAAATTTTCATACAAGCATGTTAATAAGCATGAATATCACATATCCATCATCATTTGTATTCAAATTACACAATAACTTCAACATGCATCTAAAGTCGAAACATATTTATGTCTAAACCAAGCCTTTTTCACAAAAAAAGCCACATGCATGCATGAACTTAAACATGCTCTGATACCATTGTTGGGATTCATGCATTTTGGACATGGAAATGGAGTGAAAATGATGATCAAAGTGATGGACATAACATCAATAACATGTTTTTAAAGAAAAATAATAGTATATTACCTATTCCTTTACTATTTAATGTTTGGATCTTCTTTCTTGGAGGCTTTATTCTTCAATTGAGATTAAAGAAACTCAAAATATGATCCACACAAGCCAAGGAAGAGAGAGCCGATTATGACTGAGAGAGTTTTTGAGTGAATGTTAGTTTTCATAATGAAAGAGTTTGTAAGTACAGTATTATTGCTATTTATATACCATGGGCACAAAGTGCAATTTTAAATTGTCTTAGGAAGGCCTCAAACAATTTAAAATTAACTTGAGAATAAACATTTATGTCAAGTTCTTGGTTTTATGGTTAATTCATAATTAAACTAAATTTTAATCCATTAAATATTCTAATCCTCTAGAATAAAACTAGTGCACTTTTGCCCCCATTATTAAATCCAATTCAATAATAATATTTAATAAATCCTTATTACATTTGGTTAGTGTTAGCTACCCATGGACAATCATTTCTCACTGATACATTAATTCAAATGAAACTGTTTACGTCCAGACACCATTAATCCGATTAATGATATGTATTACTCTCTCTCCTTAAGCTTGGTTTTATGTGTGACCATTTTGATTCATTGTGATCTAGCTGTGGGCCCAATATCGAATTCTGATATGTTTCATTATAATTTCTTATAATCAAAACTCTCATTGATTATGGTAGATGTCTAGCAATGTTTCATAACCCCTAAACGATAATAAAGTATAAATTCCAATGAACCTTTTCTGATCGTATGTACCGTGCAGTAAAATCCCTTCGTCGTCTAATCTTGATTAAGAATGATTCATAATATGTCAAAACCCTTAACTTAATCTTTAATCGAATTGTCAATTGATACAATGGAACTCGTCAACCTAAAACTACTTTTCTTCTGACATTCATTATATACTGCCAGAGATTTCATTTTTCCAATGTTTATTAACATTCATCTAGGAACTCAAGATTGGACTACTTCGAGTTAATGGATCCCATCTTGACTACCACTTGTCCTCGCACATGAATAACATATGACCAAACCAGCTTGTTACACAAGACATGACTAGTCTCGTGTTTATACACCATATGAATCATATGCATCCTATGCGAATCTAACAGTGATGTCTCCGGTCTGAGAATTAGTCATACACTAGTACGATCCTACGATGTATCATTGACCAAAATTTAAACGTCTATTTGATTCATCGTAATCGGTCATTTTCGATAAATAGTTCACTAACTATTTATCCATGCTAATGCCCTAATGACATAACTAATAATCACCCACACTAATACCATCACGTGATATTCAATGAAGACATTTAGCATGCCTACTATGCAATGTAACTACCCAATTAACATTACTTACGTAGCAAATGCTTCGATTATTTGATCTTCTAAAGATCCACATCATCCAGACATTTCACATACAATAGATAATATAAATGAAGT